CAGCACCTGAGCACACTGGGTCACACTAACGTCACCAGGAAAGGGGTCACCAGACATCACGCGTCTCTTCATGAGATGCAGCGTGAAATGCCCAGCACCACCCATGAGAATTTTTTATTTTATTTTATTTTATTTTTTAAAGACAGGGTTTTGCTATGTTGGACAGGCTGGTTTCAAACTCCTGACCTCAAGTGATCCACCTGCCTCGGCCTCCCAAAGTGCTGGGATTACAGGCGTTAGTCACCGTGCCCAGACCATGAGAATTTTTAACAGAAGAAATCAGCTGGAATCTAACCAAACCTAGAGCTCTCACTAACAAGTTCCTGGAAATAAAGGAGTAAGAGGAACACAGTAAAAGTCACTAAGAGGATACGATCAGTAGGACCCTAAATGTGGGACATTTTGAATAATTAAGATGAGCCTGAGTCTGTTTGACTATCAGATGCCATAGGCTGGGTGGCCAAAACAACAGAAATTTACTTTCTTACAGCTCTAAAGACTGGGAAGTCCAAAATCAAGGAGCTGATTTGGTTTCTGATGGGGGCTCTCTTCCCAGCTTGCAGACAGCCACCTTTTTGCTGTTCCTCACCTGGTGTCTCCTCTTATAAGGAGACAAATCCTGTCTCATTAGAGTCCCGTCCTTATGAGTTTATTTAACCATAATTATCTCCTGCAGGCCCTATTGCCAAACACAGTCACATTAGGGGTTTGGGTTTCATTGTATGGATTTGGGAGCAGGAGGTACTCAATTCAGTACATAGCATGAGTCATGCAAGTGCCTCCTCACTAAACAAAGAACACCAGCATCAACCGGAACTTTTGTTGCCACCACTTCCCACCCTAAACTTGAAAGATGCTGATGGGATGTTTAAGTCTCTCTCTCAGTGGGGACCAATCCCTGTTTAAGTCTCTCTCTCTCGGTGATGATCAATGGTGGTGATCCTGGGTGTGTTCCCATACCTCATTCATTTCAAGATGTTGACTGAACACTTCCTGTGTACCAGACTCATGTCAGGAGCCTCAGGTGCCCCAGTGAGACAATATGGCAAAGAAGATACCTGCCCTCAAGGAGCTTACAGTCTAGCTTGTCAGGGAAGCTAGACTGCCTAGAAAAAACTCTAGTTTGACTGAGAGGAAAGAAGACAATTGCAATGAAAGGGAAGAGGATCAGTATCTTCAGGATCATTTAAATACAGTCGTGTTGCTTAGCAACAGGGATACGTTCTGAAAAATGTGTCATTAGGTGATTTCATCATTGTGCAAACATTGTAGGGTGGACTCACACAAATGCAGATGTATGACCTACTGCACACCTGTATGGAGAACTTACTATGAATGGAGCTTGCAGGACTGGAAGTTGCTCTGGGTGAGTCAGTGAGTGAGTGGTGAGTGAATATGAAGGCCTAGAACATTACTGTACACTGCTGTAGACTTTATAAATACTGTCCACTTAGCCTATAAAATTTATTAAACATTTATTTTAAAATACTTTTTTCTTCAATAGTAAATTGACCTTAGCTTACTATAAATTTTTACTTTATATACTTTTTAATTTAACATCTTGACTCCTTTATAATAACACTTATCTTAAAACACAAACACATTGTACGGCTACACAAATACATTCTTTATGTCTTAGTCTATCAGCTTTTTTCTATTTCTAATTTTTTAAAATGTTTTAAACATTTTTGTCAAAAACTAAGAGACAAACACACACATTAGCCTAGGCCTACAAAGGGTCAGGGTCATCAATATCACTGTCTTCCACCTCCACATCTTGTCCCACTGGAAGGTCTTGAGGGGCAATAACATGCATGGAGCTGTCATCTCCTGTGATAGCAATGCCTTGTCTTGGAATCCTCCTGAAGAACCTGCCTGAGGCCATTTTAAAAGTAACTGTCTTGGATTAAGTAGACGGAGTACCCCCTCAAATAATGATGAAAGTATAGTATAGTAAATTCATAAACTAGTAACATAGTTATTTAATATCATTATCAAGTATTGTGTACCATACATAATTGTATGTGCTAGACTTTTATACAACTGGCAGGGCAGTAGTTGTGTTTACAGCAGCATCACCACAATTCCAAGAGTAGTGTCTTGTGCCGCCATGTTCCAGCGGCTAGACACCACTAGGTGATAGAAATTTTTCAGCTCCATTATAATCTTAGGAGACCACCGTTGCTTATGGGGTCTGTTGTTGACTGAAATGTTGTTATGTAGCCCATGACTGCACAAACACAGAAAGGCTGAGTCTACATTCCTGTGCTTCTGTATTTTAAGGTGGCTTGTGACACAGATTAGTCAACATCTATCATTCGTCAATAATGCATTTTGTGGAATGGAGAAGTCTATAGTCCACTAGAGTGAATCAGCAAAGTTAACCTAATACGTTTTTTCTTTCTAGCCGTTTCTAGACCAATGGGTCTCTGTCCTTATTTCTGTTTTCACAATATCACTACTAACCTCCATCACTTTTTTTTTTTTTTTTTTTTTTTTAATATAAACTCTTCCTTCCAGGCCCAGCTTCCCAAGTCACCTTCTGATTGATCAAAGTCATCAAGACCTTGAACAAGGAGGCTTTTCAGGGAAATGTACCCAAGTCTGAGTCACTCAGAAACGGACCAGTGATGCTAGGGGTTCCTTGTTTTCCCTCTCTTCCCTGTCCCTAACACTTCCCACTGTTAAAGGAACCCAACGATAAGCAGACTTGGAAAGCCCAGGACCCACTTCTGGCCTGTCTGTTATAACCAATGATCTCCAACCTTTAGCACCAGGGACTGGTTTCATGGAAGACAGATTTTCCACAGACCGGGGAGGAGGATAGTGGTACAACCTACATCCCCGCATGCGCAGTTCACAGTAGGGTTTGCGCACCGGTGAGAATCTAATGTTGCTGCTGACCTGACAGGAGGCGGAGCTTAGGTCCCCTTCCAGTCCATGGCCTGGGGGTTGAGGCCACTTAGATGATCTGCCCAGAAAGCAGCCTCTGAGACTCTTCCAACGTGTTCAGTTTTGATGAAATCTGCCCTGACACAGCAACATGAGCTTAAGGAAATGTTACTGTAATTACCTGACCCCATACCTGGTTTCCAAGGCCAGCAGCTGGAAATGCCTTACAGTTAGCTTTTGAGCTAATCACATGTGCTCACTTCCAGCTGCTGGTGAGCAGTGAAATCAAAATAGCTTCTGACAGTGATTATCCTTGCAAAGGGGATCCCATGCTCAGGGTGAAGCTAGACGTTCCTCTTTCTTACAGGAAAGAGCAAGGTTTACTGCCATTAATAGTCAGAAAATCATCTGTGTTATCTAGTGAGGGTTCTAAGGATTGGATTCTATGTCAAGGCTCAGGCAAAGCGACAGTTGCTCCTTGCAGAGGTGACGTTAGGAGCCTCAACCTGTCAGCTGCTGTGTGAGGCCTGGCATGGCAATCATCACGCAAAGGCAGACTCTTAAGGAGCACTGTAAGTACTACTGTAATTCTTACCTTTGTATTCTACTACTAGTGACTTAGTTCAGGTTATGATAACAAATAAACCATGGGATGGTTACACTTGTGGCTTAAACAACAAGCATTTATTCTCACAGTCCTGGAGGCAGGAAGTCCAAGATGGAGATGCGGGCTGGTTCGGTGCCTGGCGAGGATTCACTTCCTGGTTCACAGGTGGCGCCTCCAGGCTGTGTCCTCACTTGGCGGAAGGGGCGAGGGAGCTCTCTGGTCTCTTCTTATGAAGGCATGAATCGCCTTCGTGAGGGCTCCACTCTCCTGACCTAACCACCTCCCAAAACCCCACTGCTTCATACCATCATATTGGGCTTTAGGATTTCAACATGCGAATCGTGGGGCGGGGACACAAGCATTCAGTCCGTGGCAACCAGATTCTGCCGAAGGATCCCCTCAGGGTCTTCCCTCCCTGGGCTTCACGGTGGTGATGGTGGGGATGCTCAGCTGAGCGGATCCCACGCTGCAGCGCCACCTCCCCAACAAGCCACCGTATTTTTCATTAGCCGGATGTGGAAGGTGCCGTTATTGGTCCAATTCTCCAGCCCTCTCTGTATTTAGATCTTTTCTCCGTGACTTTACAGTTTTTCCCACAAAAGGCAGAACATATTTCCCACTTTCCCCGCTTCCTTTAACTTTGGCCATGGGACTAGCGTTGGCCAATAAATTAAAGTGGAAGTGAAGGCTCGCCTTTTCAGGCCTTGCTGCTTCCCTATTTGCCTGTGCCTGGCCACGCCCAGAACTTCCCCCAGACGCGCTGGCTCCTCCACCAGGGTCACCGAGTGACCCTGAGCCCAGACTCCCTCAAGAAGCCACCCCCTGCTGATGCTCAGAAGCAGACGGCCCAGCTGAACCCAGCCCAGATCAGCCACACTCCAGCCAAACACTTGCTCCTGTATGCGGTGCGATTCGTGGTTTCACGTTAAGCAGCAGAATCGTGCTCATAGTCACCTGACACACAGGCATCTTCTTTTTTTTTTTTTTTTTTTTTTTTTGAGACAGAGTTTCGCTCTTGTTACCCAGGCTGGAGTGCAATGGCGCAATCTCGGCTCACCGCAACCTCTGCCTCCTGGGTTCAGGCAATTCTCCTGCCTCAGCCTCCTGAGTAGCTGGGATTACAGGCATGTGCCACCATGCCCAGCTAATTTTTGTATTTTTAGTAGAGACGGTGTTTCACCATGTTGACCAGGATGGTCTCGATCTCTCGACCTCGTGATCCACCCGCCTCAGCCTCCCAAAGTGCTGGGATTACAGGCTTGAGCCACTGCGCCCGGCTACACAGGCATCTTCTTTAACAATTTTTTGGGGAGTTGCCAACTGGAGTTGCAGTTAAGAGATGAGAGTGTATAATTTTTGTTTTAACAATCCTAATGCAGCTGCAAGGTATCAAAGATTTTTTTTTTTTTTAACTAATGAGTGCTTCCCTTTAATGAAGGCTGCTTCAGTCCTCCCTGCAGGCCCACTAGAGTCTCCCAGCAGTACATGTTAGCAGGAGCCATCAGATTTTCCAAAAAATCTTCTTTCTCTAGATGTAGGCAGTGAGCACCCAGAGGGCAGTGACAACAATGTTCTGAGTCAGGTGCTCCCTGTGGGACTGGTTGTCCTCCAACTTCCACTGAAAGGGGAAGTAGGTCTCAAACACCTCATGGGCAGCATACACCAGAATAGAATTCATTCCTGGATAAAAGAACAGGGGTCCTGTCCACAGCCCCTTCACATCCACAACCGGGTACAGGACCAGCAGGATGGAGAAGGCAAAAGAACTGAGTGTGGTGACACATGAAAGGGATCGGAGATTTTTGTTTACTGGAGTAAAACCTTCATTTTCAGAAACTTTTGTCAGAGCAACAAAAATGAGCCCAAGAATACAACACCAAGCAGTGAATCGAACCAGGATGTCTTCAGTCTGAGCCTTGTAATACAATAGTATTTTTCCGGCCTCAACTACTAAAAAGGCCATCACGATGGAGTGGATGGTGCCCAGGATGCCCTCAGGGTCATAGGCCACCTCGGTGTGGTAAAGCACAGCAGAAGATGGGTGCTGGTAAAGGCGATCGTCTCCCAGCTGCAAGCGGGTCCATGTAGCCCGCAGCTCCTCCAGTACACTTTGGATACTTGCCAAAATCCCCAATGCCTCCAGGACCAAGATAACCAGTAGGGCACCCAGAGACTGGCAGGAGGAGTGTCAAGCCCAGACACAGGCCTTCCAGCGCCAGGATATGCAGCCTCTAGGACCAGCTGGACATTATGTCTCGAAGAGAAAGGCAGCTCCTCTCTGAGGCACAATGTTCAGGCACAGGATTAACAAAGAGGAGCTCCGACACAGCAACCACAAAGCAAGTCACCCCCAAGAGCTGCAGCACACCAGGAATGCGCACCTTGTCCAAGACAATGGACCAAGGCAATAACTGGGATTCACAATAATTCTTATGCAGATTAACAGGAAACTCCTTCATGCAATCTTCCCCAGCAATCTGAATTTTGAATATCCCCATTGCAGTATAGAAGTCATTGATAGAAAAATGGAAGATCCCATAATAAATACAAACCATGGGAACACAAGGTCAGCCACCAACAACCCATTCCAACTCATGAGTTTGAAGTATCAATATTTCCCTTCTCCATAATTGACGAAGACCCTGAGTATGACAGCAATCCCCCTGAAGGTGTCCATGCCGTGGAGAGGGAGCAGCAGGGCAAATGGATGCCACACTGCTGGCTGGATGCCACCATCGAGAGGGTCTGTCCTGCTGGGAGATCCCAGCTCAGAATTGATGAGGCGATCAGTTTCTCGAGAACTTATGGCCTTAGAAATCCAATTATTAAAGGCATCCAAACTCCACAAGAGCCTCAGTGATGACAGTGAGACCAATAAGGAATGCGGTGCTCACAGGAAGGTTACTGTTGGCTGGATCCTCGTTCACAGCCCGGTCACAGGCAATTTCACTAACTCCATTATGGATGTACTTTACCGAGAGAGAATAGTTTCCAAATTCTCCTCATTTGTATTCCAGCCTACAAACTTCTTTCTCTTCCAAGGTGTCGTGCAGCTGTAGGATGGATCTGTGCTGGGTGCTGACAGGGACGGCTACAGTGCTAGGCTTCCCCACTTTTGGACTCTGAGGAACATTTACCAGAACCTGAAACAAGCAGTGATAACAGGATTCCAATTTCCAGTAGACAGTCAAGTTGGTCCCGAGAAGCTCATTATGGATGAATAGCAAAGCCTGATCCATCTTCAGCAACACGTGTCTTTTTTTGTCTAAGTCTGGTGGCAGCACCTCAAAGATTTTTTTTTTTAAAGGTTCCTTATAGCGCTAAAGGCACAAAGGAGATTTTGCTCTGTTTTCCAGGCTTGCCGTTGTCTATTCATTCACAAACTCATGGCTCCCATCTGCGATGGTTATTACAGAAAATAAGCTCTACGACTAGATACACATTTAAGTTTGGTTAAAGATAAATTTGTTTAAAAATAAATAGTTCAATACAATCCATTGATTTTAAAGTTTCTTTTTTTTTCTTTTTTTTCATTTATCCATCTCCAAAAAAATGTATTGAGAGTCTCTTCGGTGCCAGGAACTATCTTAGGCACATCAGGGAACCAAATCACACTGTGTCCTCGGGAGGGACATTCTGCAAGGGCTGAGCCACTCCTCCACCAGCTGTGCCCACTTTGTCTTTATGTCTTTCCTTAGAGTAAAGGAAGAACCAGATCCTGTGTTTGTAAAGCCACCCAAGCTGGCTAAGTAGAATGGAAACAGACCGTAAAATGGTGACAGCCTTGCTCAAATATCAGTTAGGTTCCACCAGCAGAAAATGCAATTACATATTTTCTAAAAAAAATCAATTTAAACTTAAAAATTATCTTTAAGGCTGGGTGTGGTGGCTCATGCCTGTAATCCGGGCACTTTGGGAGGCAGAGGTGGGTGGATCACTTGGGGTCAGGAGTTTGAGACCAGCCTGGCCAACATGGTGAAACCCCATCTCTAGTAAAAATACAAAAATTAGCAGGGCATGGTAGCTCATGCCTGTAATCTCAGCTACTCCAGAGGTTGAGGCAGGAGAATCGCTTGAATCCGGGAGGCGGAGGTTGCAGTGAGCTGATTGCCACTGCACTCTAGCCTGGACAACACAACAAGACTCTGTCTCAAACGAAACAAAACAACAACAACAATGATCTTTAATTGTGCACCCCTGTTGGCCCTTAGTCCCAGCTGGGTTACTGTAGCAATATCATTTGCAATAGCCAGAAGGCAGAAGCAACTCAAGAGTACCTTGATGAACGAATGTATATGAATATACATATATGAGTATGTATATATATATATAACATTTTGATTATTCATATAGATAAACAGAACTTCTTCATCTATAGGTGTACATGTAATTATTTATATTATACATGTATGTATATATATATATATATGTGTGTGTGAAAAATATTATTTTGCCTCAAAAAGTGAAAGCCATTTTGACACATGCTACAGCATGGATGAGCCTGAGGTCCTAACACTAAGTGAAGTGAACCACTCACACAAAGGTAAATACTGTATGATTCCACTTCTATGAGGTACCAGAAATAGTCAAATTCATAGAGAAGGAAAGTAGAATGGAGGTGACCAGTGACTGCAGGGAAGGAGAGAATCAGAAGTTAATTGGTTCAAAATGCGTGTGTGTGTGTGTGTGTGTGTGTGTGTGTGTGTGTGTGTGTGTGCTGGGGGGTGGGGGGCAGTGGAAATGAACGTCTGGGTACAAAAGCTCTGTGTGATGTCAACTGGGGCACTTGGCCTCTCTGATCCTGGTAACATCATCTTAATTTAAGGGATTGGCCCCAAGAATAAAGGGGCCAGAGTTGATGGAGACTGAGTTTCAGTTTGGAAAGTGAAAACGTTCTGGAGATGGATGGCGGCCATAGTTGTACAATGTGGAATGATCCTAATGCCATTAAACTGGATATTTTAAAATGGTGGCAATAGTGTATTCTGTTATGTATATTTCACCATAATTTAAAAAAATAAAAATGAAGTTTAAACATTTAATCCACCACACCATAAGCCAAAAAGCTGTGTGACCTTGAGTGGGGCATTCGGCCTCTCTGATCCTGGGTGGCATAATCTTAATTCAAGGGGTCAGCCCCAAGGATAAAGCCTCTGTTTCTCTCTGGCAGAATGAGTTATGTTATATGTCATCCTTCTTTGGCTGACCCATGTACAAGGTCCGTGCCAGTCCAGGTTCCCACAGGCATCAGGTGCCCTTCTTGCAGTGTGAAATTGCTTTGCAGACTTAGAACAGCAGGACTGTTTCCTGTTGCTCTGATGCCACAGCTTTGGGCTTCGCAATTAACCTGCTGGTCATCGTTTTCCCTTGACTCTAGCATGCCTGCTCCTTTACCAGGAAAATATGATTTTTTGGAAAAGGAAGGTCCACACTAAGGCCATGCTAATTAGTACTTGGTTCACAGAGAACAATAGCTCATTTAGGAATCACTTTCTTGAGACAAAGACAGGATAAATATCTGCTAGATTTGATGCCAAGGGTGTCATGTCTTAAAGCATGTCTGGGGATACTTTCCCGTCAAGAAAAAAAACGACATGAATGTTTTTCATTGAACAAAAAGACACAATTGGTTTCCCTCTGCATCGGCAGCAGCAGCCTCTCTGTCCAGCTCTGTTAGAATGGTCTGTGCTCTGCAGAAAGGCAGTGGGATGGCATGAAGGAACCGCCTCAGCTTCCAGATGGACAGTTCAAGGATAGGTAGCTGGAATGCTGTGCACTGGGCCAGGTCTGAGAAATGCTGAGATGATGCAGGCTCTCAAATGGCACCGCAGAGCAGAAACCAAGCATATCAAAGGTCAAAGGAAGATTTTCAAGAGAAAACCAAAGCCTTGGATGGCTAGAGGAGTTCTGGATTTGCAATGGGCTCCTGAAAACAGGCTTTATATATATATGTGTGTGTGTATGTATATTTGTATATACACAAAACATTTTCTCTCATTGGAGGGGCTTTACATAATTGACTTTTGTTTTCAGAGGTGTTGCTCAGTCTATCTTGCCTTGGTATCTACCAAGCAGTGTCACTCACACACACAGTTCTAGAGAACTGAGGTAGGGGTGTGTGTGTGTGTGTGTGTGTGTGTGTGTGTGTGTGTGTAAGTGAAGGTAATCACTTAACTGTCATGTCAGCAACAGCACAGGTTTCTTTCATGGCAAATAGCAACCAGTGTCAGTTTGGTACCTGCCACAGTTGGGGGCTCTGGGAGGCTGACATTGAGGGGCTGGTCAGCATGCAGGATGCTTGTTAGGGGCACAGGATTGACCCCAGCGAAGCTTCTAGAGGGGCTGGAAGCCAAATTGCAAAGACGGAGGAGGTGGGCTGCCATGCCAAGGCTTCAGCTGGTCACAGGGAACTCCGAGCAGCATGGCCTTATAATCCAACACTGCATTCTACAAGATTATACACAACTTTCATTGGTCCGCTCAAGTAGGTCAGACAGCTGATGTTCAGCTGATTAGAGGCTCCTAGGGACCCTACAGATTCTGAGGAATCTGTATGGGGAGGAGGTGCTGGCCAGGCTCTTATACCAGCATATCCATCACTCCCTGAATGGGGCTGCCATTGGGAAGGAGGTGTGGCCCTTGGGCGAGGGGACTGTCTTCAGACATGACAACCCCCAAAGAGGGCTGATAACTGAGGGTGGTCTTTCAGCCACTGGGAGAATAAGATCTTCATTCTTGAAGGGGAATTTGGGCTTCACATCGTCGTGTCTACCAAGGAAATGAATGACTGGAAAGAAGGAAGAGAGGGACAGAGGAAGAGAGAGAGGGAGGTGAGAGAGAAGGGACAGAGAAAAAGGGGAGTGCAGGGAGGGAGGAGGGAGGAAGGAAGGAAGGAAGGAAGGAAGGAAGGAAGGAAGGAAGGAAAGAAGGTAGGCAGGCTGGCTGAGGTGGGAGGATCACCTGAACCTGGGAGGCAGAAGCTGCAGTGAGCTGAGATCGTGCCACTGCACTCCAGCCTGGGTGACAGAGTGAGACCTTGTTTCAAAAAAAAAAAAAGAGGAAGGAAGAAAGAAAGAAGGAAAGAAGGAAGGAAGAAAGAAAGAAAGAGAAAGGAAAAGAAAGAAAGAAAAAGAAAAGAAAGAAAAAGAAAGATGAGGGAAGGAAGGAATATATTAGGTGCTGCTTACATTTTAGTAAGTGTAGAAAGCAGGCTGGCTGCTGTGGTTCATGCCTGCAATCTCAGCACTTTGGGAGGCCAAGGCAGCTGGATCACCTGAGGTCAAGAGTTCGAGACCAGCCTGGCCAACATGGTGAAACCCCATCTCTACCAAAAATACAAAAGATTAGCAGGGTGTCTTGGTGGATGCCTGTAATCCCATCTACTCAGGATGTTGAGGCAGGAGAATAGCTTGGACCCAGAAGGCAGAGGTTGCAGTGAGCTGAGATCACACCACTGCACTCCGGCCTGGCCAACAGGACTGAAACTCCTGTCTCCAAAAAAATAAAAGGAAGTATAGCAAGCAGTAAGCACCTGTCATCAGAAACCACAGGGATTGCTTTAGGAGGGAGATCAAAGCCAGGATAATTCAGGGCTGAAGGACAATTTAGAGCCATTGGGCTGAACCATAATACTATTGTGTTGCTCACCATTTGATATTCTCAGTCTTACCAAGGAAGAAATGATCTCAGACCAGATAAGCAGTTTGTTTCCAGGCCCACAGAACAATGTTGCAGAGAAACGTAGTCTTTGCCTCTGTCCATCCCTCTTCACATCTCTGATCTTGCTTTCAACCCTACCTTCCTCTCTGACCTCCTCTCCTGGTCTCTGCCTCTCTCTCTCTCTCTCTCTCTCTCTCTCTCTCTCTCTCTCTCTCTCTTTTTTTTCTCCTTGCTTTTTCTCTGCAGCTAGCCTCATTAGGGTCTTCAAACATCAAAACACCTCTTAGGCCCTGTGGTACCTTGGCAGCATTGTTCTTCGACAAAAGCCTGAGTCACTGGCCCCGTGTCAGCTACAGTAAAAGGCCGCCCCACCCCCAGCAGTGCTTGTTAATCCTATAATCCAACACCGACTTCTACAAGACTATACACAATTTTCATTGGTCCACATTTCAAGTAGGTCAGGCAGCTGATGTTCAGCTGATTAGAAGCTCCTAGGGACCCTACAGATTCAGAGGCAGCGGGGTAGCATATAACTTCAGAGGCGACATCTTTCTGAATCAGCACAGGCTGCTGAAGAATTCTAATCTTGGTGGCGCTTGAAGCAATTTAGAGTAATGAGCCTCTGTCAATTTGAGAGGAAGGCATCCTTTGAATGGCAACC